CCCTCATTATTTTACCCTCTGTAAGAGGCGGAAATACTAGGAAGTGGTAGCATATGCTAACAGCAGACAACTTTCTCTCTCTCCCAACAGTTCCTTAAAATCGAGTCGTTTTCGACTTTGAGCTCCTAATATGCGCCAATCTGAGATCGAATAAAAGGTGAAGGGGCTGGTTGATGAAAAGGAGAAGGGGGAGGGAGGAGTTACGACAGGGGTAAAAAACTCGAAAACTGGAATATCTTTCCCTGACGTAGAGAAAACAAAAAGCCCTTTCAAACAAATAATGAAAATCAAACATAAACGGAAAGTAAAGTCTGCTTGGCTGGCCCTGCGACAAGCTGCTTGTCCTACTGATGGCTCGTCAGTGGTCAACAAGCAATACTAGCTTGAAGGACCCGATAAAGATGCAAGATGGTTCACTTGAGTGGTTAAAAACTAAGAATCTAGCACAGCTGCACTCCGTTTGTCACTCACCTCAAGCTGGTTTACACATTAAAATGTTGAGCAAATTGCGATGGTTGTAACGATCAGCTAGAAATTTCATGAACTGACAAAAAAGCTTTCAAAAAATGTTGATTAAATGGGTTGCAAAAAAAACTAAACGGTGCAGAAGCTACAAGATTTAACTGTGGATTTAAGAATTACCAAGGCTAGCTAGAAAAACATAAAAAAATTCCCATAATAATTATACTGATGAGACGCTCTTAACATGCCAAGTACAACTATGTCAGGCCTTTTGGTTTCGAGTTGAGTGCTCGCAATCAGTACTTACCACTTGCCATGCATGTGTTTCGCCTTTTTAGAGGCCACTCTCTCTTACGAATACCACTCACTGATATAGGATAATTGTAAAAAAAAAAGGAAGTACTTACAAGGTCCAAAAGTGGGAAAACGAATTTCCCTCGTGAGAAAGTCGAAAAATGCGTTCTGGCGTTTTAATTTGAAATTTCTCCGGAAGGTTACACATTAACTCAAAGGCAATATTCGGCGAGACGATTACTGAGTCGAATGGTCTCGTATGAAACGCTGCCATATCGGCCGGCACCGGAGTGGATCCTTCTACTTCTCTAACCTACAACATAAAGTGAATAAATCGATCTGTGCAATAATTATTCAAATATAACTTGAGGAACTATGGCTGTCAAATAAAGGGAATTTTCAAAACTCAGTAAACCCTCCAAACAGAAACACACTCCGAAAAATGCAGAGAATTTCGAGCATTCAAACAGATCCCAGGCTGGAACGCACCAGGCAAGCCGGTGCGATCATGCGTTTTACACTTTTCATGCCGTAGCAAGATCGCAAGGAATTTCAGTGGCTAGCCCTGCGACATACTGGCTCTCGAAGTTCGGGAAGTTAATTGTGCAGCTATGTGGCGTGTCAGTACAGATGTCAACTTCAATGACCCAACAGATGGAAAGTTGGCGGTCCGCGAAAAAGGTTGCATTAGAAAAGTTAAATTCGAAATCTTTTAGTCGCACATGAGTAGGGAACGTGCTCTTAAAATTAAAGCCTTGCAACTTTTCTTGTTCCCGAGTTAAAAGTTTTTCCGTCAAAATTTTCACGTGTCCGTACGTGAGTGTCGGACGGTTCAAAGGAGCTGAATTTCAAAAAAAAAAATCTTTTGTTCGCACACTGATGGGGAGCAGTCTCCCCAAGTTTTAGCTTTCCAGGTTTTCTCGTCCTCGGAATAGTGGCTTTCCCGCCAAAATTTCCACGTGCCCGTATGTGGGCCCTGGATGCTTCATTCGGCTTTCTCCTGTGTCGTAAGATACACTCGCAGACCGTACTAATTGAGAAGCATAACTCTGTCGAGTTGAACCACCACCCAGAGAAGAGTTTTTTTTTTTCAACAGTGCCGAAATGCTCACCTACATGCACAAACAAACACACAAGCATACACACACATACACACACACACATACATACATACCAAATTTTAATTTTTTTTTTGAAAGCAAAGAAAAAAACTCTACATATTTTATGGGAGAGG